CCCCCCCCCCCCCCCCCCCCCCCAGCGCGCGGGGGTCGGGAGCAGCCCAGGCTGGGTCGGGGGCAGTTCCAGGCACCTTCCTGTGTTGACTGTCCAAACGGGATGCGACTGTCGAGGTGTCCGAAATGCCCCCCTCCTTTCCCGCCCACAACTTGACTATAAGCTGCCCTGAACCCTGGGTCGATCTGCCTGCCCGGAGACCGGGGCTGGGGATTCCTAGACCGCTGCTGGTGGAAGTAGCACCCCCTCTGCAGACGCTGGCCAGACCCAGCCCTTTCCTCCCCGAAGGACGCCTTTGCGGAAGCTTCCTACAGCGCAGTGTTTGTCCGACCACTCCTTGAGCGAGGAAGGGTGTCGAAGGTGCCTTGGGAAGAACGGGGACCCCATCCGAGCCATGGCGCGGCTCCAAGGTTCCTACGGCCAAGCCTTCCAGTTCCGCCCGGTCAGGTCTCCCGGGCCTCTGTCCTTGGTGCTGAATTCGTGGTGCTGAAATCTCGAAAGCAGCCCCCGGCAGAGAGGCCGGAGTGGCTCCGGCCAAGGTAACGGGTGTGAAGGTCGGGGGTAGCTCTAGGCCTCTCCCCCCACCCCGCCCCGCTCCCGGAGTTTGTGATCGGCTTGGAGGAGGTTCTCCTCCATGCTCCCTCAGGGAGGCGATCGCTCTCACTGGCCTGAACGTCCCGAGCCTTGGTAGATCAATGCAGCTCCAGCAGGCTGGAACGGGACCCTAGAGAGGCCTTGCGTTGCTCTGCGCAGAGGAGACAAGCCGGACCGGAGCCCTGCACGGAATACGCTGAACTTGCAGACTCGCCAAGCTACGAAGCCGCGAAGGGCAGAGGCGAGACGCGGAAGCAGCAGCGGAGGCGAGTGAGGCATTTCCTCCTCCCTCTTGACAAGAGCCAGCCTGAAGAGTGCCCTAATGAAGTTATGATTATTTTATTAGGGTTCTTAGGAAAGCATCCTCTTCCCTCCACCCTCTTCAGCGAGAGAAGGAAAAGGCGCTTCTGCTCCAGGCAAGGGCGCCCGTCCTGGGAGGCGTTGGGGGAAAGGGGGCACCGCGCCTGCACGCGCGCCTCGCTGGGGCCGCTTCGACCGTCCTGGGCTTTGCTGAGCCAAACGGCATCAATTCTGACCGCGTACGCCCTAATTCTGGCGGTCCCGATCCCGAGAAGTCAATTCAAACCTGAACCACCTGCTACTTGTCGGGCCGGTGAGTCAAGAGCAGAATCGCTTTTCCGGTTCAGTTTTTGCAGAAAGCTGCGAGGAGAGAAACCTGCATTCAGGACCAGCTTCCAGATGTGCAAAGGGGGGGGGATTTTCAAGTCTAGTTTCTTTGACGGCCCTCCGCGGATTCGGAACAAGATTGTTGAGGGAAGAGCTTCTTTCTCATTTCCAAAGCCTCTGGGGTGTTAAATCTTGTTTCTCCAATGTCTCTCTCTTTCCTCTTCTTGTCCTGTGATAGCAGAGTACCCTTTACATTTTGTGTTTGAGAAACCACGGTTTTTACAACACGTTTCATTTTTCTAACTTTTTCAAAAGGGGATTGATCCAAATCAAACAGACTAGACTGAACAGTCAGGTTTATCAACAGTTGTTTGACTTGCATCTTCTAATGCATCTTGAGAGGGTCAAAATACCAACTTTATTTTCAGTGGTGCATAAATTAATTACATGCATTTAATAACCCAAATATCATTAGATCCCCCTTTCACATCGTAAAGGCTTTACGCTAGGGAAGCACTTAATAGGGCAGGGGGCCATCAGCAGCTATTATCTTGGTGTATCGCTATTATGGAACCAATTATGCCCCCGTATCCCGTTTCCCCACTTCTCCGTTGATGTCTTTTCATCCAATCCCGCGCCCCCCGAATTTACATGTTCAGCTGGAGGCTTCAGAGCCTCATTTTCACCCAGGCATCGGGGTTGAGCCATCTCTCTCGCCGCCGAGCGTCTCCAATGCGTTTTAAAAGTAATTGCGAAGGGCCCCACCGCCTCTCATTTGCAGACGGGAAACGAGCTTCAATCCGGAGACCCCTCGCTGCGAACAAAATCAAACCTCGCAACGGAAAGGCGAGGCGGCTCCTAGAAAGCCCACCGAATGGCCCATTAGCGCTCCCGGGAACGAGCGCGCCAGCCAACAACAAGTGCCA